CCTGCCTCCTGAATTAGTTAGCCAGTTAGCTTTCCTCCCTTCATCCTTTCCTTCCTTGCATCCTCTTCCTGCCATACTTATGGACATTTACTAACCACTTATTAGCAAGCAGGTATAGAATAGTTCATGCATTCTGTGTAAGCTTGGTGAAGTCCCTGCTTTCTGACCTTTATGTTGATCCTCTCCAACCTCAGTAAAAGGTTTACTCAAGTGGATGTGAGTATACTTCAGTCAGGATAGTTACCCTTATTGTTGGTGCCAGATGACTAGATGAGCCTGTTTAGGGATCAAGTAGGTTGTAGGTTCAGGGTCTGATGCTTGTTAGATCTTTTTAAAATTTAGATAAAATGTGAGTATAATATAGGTATACAGAAAAGTATACCAATCTTTTAAACTTTATTCAGGGAGTGTACATTGTGTGTGTGTATGTGTATTTTTTTTTTACCTTTGTTAAAGCTTTTTATTTTGGAATAAGTTTAAATTTATAGAAAAATTGCAAACATAGTGCATAGTTCCTGTTTACCCCTCACCTAATTTACCCTATGTTAACATCATATATTAGTATGATACCTTTGTCCTAACTAAGAAACTGACATTGGTACATTACTATTTAGAAACAAACTCCACACATTATTTAGGAAGTGTATGACTTGTTCAAAGGTTTATATATCCTTGTTACTACCACCCAGGTGAAGATACAAGTCATTCCCAGCTCTCTGGTTCCCTTTTCCAGTTAGAAACTCCAAAAGTTATTACTATTTTGACTAATATTTCCATTGATTAATTTTGTCTTTGAACTTTATATTAATGGAATCAAACAATAAATTTCTGTTTCAGGACCCTTTCACTCTATGTAATATCTGTGAAATTTGTTCATGAGATATATATTTTGTCATGAGTTGTATATATATGAGTAAGATGTCATTTTCCTGTGTAATATTTCATTATATGACTATGCCAGAATTTATCCATTCTCTTACTTATAAGCATTTGGATTGCTTCTGGTATTGGCTGTTATGAATAAAGCTGTTATGAACATCCTGTACATTTTTTTTTTGTTCAAATACCACATACTCTTTTCCTACTGAGTTTTAGGGTATTTTCTTGAACAAATGTTTTGTCATTTTCTGTATCTCTTTAGGACTATTTTTATTTTTTTTCCTTACCATTTCACTGGGGAGTGGGTATATGTAGCTCCTTATAATGTCATGCCGGAGCTACTTTCCTTGTCACGTATCTCCCAGTCTGGCCCTGCCTTTTATGTTTCTTGATAAACTCGCTCTCTTAATTGTTGCTTGAACAGAAATTCCTAGTTTGGTAAAGTTCAATCTTTAAATATCTTTCTTTTTGAGTTCTGTTTAAGAAATCTCTGCCCACCCCAAGAAATGAAGATGGTTTCCTGTACTTTCTTTTGAAGCTTTAGGTGTTAGCTTTTACAATTAGGACTGTAATCCATCTTGAATTAAATTTTTGTGTGAAGTGTAGGATCAAGGTTCATTTTTTTCCATTTAGATAACCAATTGTCCCATTTCTTCCCCACTGAATTCCATTGGTGCTTTTGCCATAAGTTAAGTGGCCACATACACATGTGTCTGTTTTTGGATTCTCTTCTCTTCTGTTGGCCTTTTTGTCTATATGCACATTCATACCATATTGGTCTTATATACTGTAGCTTAATAGTAAATCTTGAAATCTGGTAGTGTAAGTACCCCAGTTGTGTTCTCCAAGGTTATTCCATTGACTATTCCAAGTTCTTTGCTTTTCCAAATAAGTTTTTGAATCAGTTTGTCAATTTATTCAAAGAAACAAAAACCCTGCTGTGTTATAGTTGGGATTGCATTGAATTTGTAGATCAGTTTGGAGAGAAGTGACATTTAACAATTTTGAAGTAATATTCAGTCTCCCAATCCTTGAACATGGTATATCTTACCATTTATTTAGGTCTTCCTTAATCTCTCAGTGTTTTGCAATTTTCAGTATATTGTTCCTACACATTTTTGATTAGATACAGAGGTATCTTATTTTTGATGCTATCATAAACAGTATTTTTTTTAAATTTCAATTTCCAATTATTGCTAGTATATGGAAATGCAGTTGATTTTTGAGTACTGGCTTTGTTTTCAAGGGCCCTACTGTTTGCTTATTAATGTAAAAATTTTATGGATTCTTCTGCATCTTTTGTCATGAGTGATACTGGCTTATCATTTTCCTTTTTCATAATAATCTTGTCAGATTTTAAAAAAAAATTAATTATATAAGCAAGATTGATTTAACATTTGAGAGTCAATCACTCTAATACACTGCATGTAGAAAAAACCATGTAATCATTTCAGTAGATGCAGGAGAGGCATTTTACAAAATTCAAAATCTATATACAATTTGCTACAAACTTTTAATTATAGAAGTGAACATTATAAATCTGATAAAGGGTATTTACCAGCTTTCCCCTGCCCCAACAACAACTGAAAAAACCTTCAGGTAACATCATACTTGATGAAATATTGACCTCTTTTCCTTTGAAGTTGGGAAATGATGTCCATAGGAATATTTATTTTAAAGCCAATACCAGAAACCTTATTCAACCAGTAACTGTTTTAGCAGTTAGCCTATAAAACAATGGAAGAGAAAATAGTGCATTGACCATAGCAAGTAGTTTCATAAAACTTTATTTCAGTTCTGTAATTGTGTGCTAGGTTGGGATTTTTTCCTTCTGAAAAAGTTGATATCAGTTCAACAAATATGTGTTTGTTTAGTATGAGGTGCTAAGCACTGTGTTAAGCTCTGATGATGTAAACAAGACAAATACGGAGCTTATAACCTGTCGGGAAAAAAAAAAAGCAAATCTTAAGTTTACAAACCATTTACAGTAGCTTTTGGGGTAAATAAGAACAGTAAATTTACAAGGACCCCATATTGAAGAATCATATTTAAAATGCTTAATGAGTTTTTAATTCTTTAAATAAAAACTTTTAACAAGATTTTTGTATTTCTTAATTATACAATTTATGTGCTCCTTTGATTTTTTTCCATTACTGTTTTTTCTCTTCTGTGAAATGCATTCTGCTTTTTATCTTGAGATTTATAGGTTTACTTTTTACAGATTCCAATCAGTGTTAAATAATATTAGTATATGTATTGTTCCTCAGTTCTCTAGGAATGGTTGTAAAGTTTTGCCTTTAAGTGCATACTCTTCTATATAAAAAATATTTTGGGAAAATATAGCAAAGTTTTCACATTAATTATAATGGGTGGTAGGAGACATGTAATTTTCAGTTTATTCTTGATCTTTTCTGTATTGCCTGCTTTACAACACGCAGTTTACTCTTACTTTAAGAAAAAAAGGGAGTTTTGCCATTTGTAACAACATGGGTGGACCTAGAGGGTATTATGTCAAATGAAGTAACTAAGAGAAAGACAAATACCATATGATTTCATTTGTATGTAGAATCTAAAAAACAAAACAAAACAGACTCATAAACAGGGAACAGATTGGTGGTGGCCATGGGGAAGGGGTGGGAGGATGGGTGAAGGGGATAAAGAGGTACAAACATCCATTTATAAAATAAATTAGTAATGGGGAAAAAAGTACAACATAGGAAATAAAGTCAATAATACTGGAATTATCTTTGTATGTTGACAGATGGCAACTACACTAACCCAATGAGTATTTAGTAATGTATGTAACTGTTGAATTGCTATGTTGTACACCTGAAACCAATATAATATTGTATATCAATGATACATTGAAAATAAAGAATGAAAACAAAAAATAGATATCTAAAAAGAGGGCAGCATTTTTCAAAACAAAATGAAAACTTTTATTTCTATTTTTTATTAATCAAAAAGGAAATTGGTCATCTCATTGCTCTATAAAGAGACTTCTTTCCAAACATCAGTTTACTTTTGACTAGGGTCTAGGGAAAATAGCTATAGCTTTTCTCTTCAACCTGCTATTTTAGGCTTTCCATAATAAGACATCTAGGAGTAGGTGATCTTTGTGGGGTTCTTCCCTCTTTGGCCCAGTTTTTTCCTTGGGTGATTATATGCATACGAATAGAGTATATAATATAGAGGCCAAGATCAGGTCTCTAAAAACATCAGTTGAAATACAAAGTTACTTAAACTCAAACTGAAATATGAAGACTAGGTAGTTTTCTTTTCCTCCCAGAAGTATTTACATTTTGGGGTACAATTGAGAGATTTACACAGTTCCTTTCTAATTGATATAATTTGTTATATTCATTTAGTATTTATTGAGTCTGTGCCAAGCTACTGGAGAAGAAGGAAAACGTAGATGTGGTTCTTATCCTTGGAAAGTATGCCCATTGGTAAGGAAATTGCCACTATTCCACTATTTTTGACCTAGTGGTATTTTAATATGGATTACCTAAAAATACCAATACAAAATAGTGGTATGAATTGTGGTGTCACCCTGTTGGAGAAGTGGAGAGATATGATCCTGAGAGGAGTTTCACAACAGTTTTTCATGTCACTTCTTTCTCACTTTAAACAGTCTAGTTCTTAATGCTCTCATACCTCTCCTAGGGCTCTCTATCTTTATTTAGTCTTTGTATACTCCCAGGGATTATGCTTTGATTCACTGATTGAAGTGAACATGAACCTCGTTTTCCCCAGGTTACTTTCCAGGTACTATGGTTTCTTCATGGTCTAATCCCAGTTCTATTTCATTAGGTCCTGAGTAAAATATCTGGTTGGCCTTTTGTGAATTAGAGATGTCAACATGATTATTTTTTTCCATCTTTTCATTTGCCTCAGCTCTTAACTAAATAAATGCCTTTTACCAGTACTCTTAATTTGAGAAATTGTTATCTGTTGTTAGAGAAAGGCATTTCAACAAACTTGGGGCTTTATGTTTTTAAATTATTTTTAGTAGAACCATTGCAGAAATGTCCTATTGAATTTAATTGCAGTTCTCCTCAGAAAAGTTGCTTGAGAACCCAATGTAATGTGTTAACTGAGTGAATCTTTTGTCTTTTCAGTTGGAAAGACGTCCTTGATCACCAGATTCATGTATGACAGTTTTGACAACACCTACCAGGTATTTGTTTTTGCCATCTCACCAGTTGTTTCTATTTTGTATTACAAGTAATATTCAAGGTCTTGTAAAATATTCATTTGTTTACATGTAGTCATAGATATAAAAGCACTTTCTGTAATTTGTAAAAAACTATATAAATACAAAGTATAACTGATGTTGCTCATAATCCTCAACTTTTTCATTTGATTTATCCCCTCTTCCAAAGTCTATTGAAATATTATTGCTAATACCATCAGGGATAGAAGTAGGCATGATTTATATGTTCTCTTATATAGAGGTTTTATCCAAGTCTAGGATTCTGTGACATTTTGATCTACACTTGAAATCAAGACTAAATGAGTAATGTAATTAGAAATCATTACCAGAAGGAACTTTGGGAAATCCACAAATATGTGGAAATTAAACAACACATTACTAAATAACCCGTGGGTCAAAGATAAAATCACAAGGGAAATTAGACAACACTTTGAAACAAATGAAAATGAAAACAACATACCAAAATTTATGGGATACAGTTAAAGCAGTGCTACAAGGAAAAGAAAAAATACATTAAATCAATAATTTAACTCTTTACCTTGAGAAACTAGAAAAAGAGGAGTAAACTTAAAGCAAGTATGGAAGAAACTTTTAAAATATAGATTATTATCATTCAGGTATGGTGAGGCCAATAGAGCAAGAGATAATTACCATTGAAAAGATAGTTTATTATACTCATAGATCCCAAGAGGAGGGGGACACTCCATGCGATGGGAGGGAGGCACATTGGAAGTATTGGTGTGGCCAGGAAATGCTGGGGTGGGAAAAGGGAAACATGGGCAGGAGCCTTTATTGTGCTTTCTGTGGGAAGGATGGCTGAGATGAGGTAAGCAGATTTCAGATTGCCTAGTTTGAATAATTTCAGTGGCCTCTGGGGTGTAACGGCTGTTCCTAACAGTTGTCTGGTACTTGGTCATGGGATTGGGGCAGGGGAATAGTGGCCCTGAGTGTGGTAGAGGAGATGGTCCAGGTATGGACTCTTAAGTTGGTTGGTTTGCATGTGAAAGGTGCTCTCACAGGCAAGTTTACTATCTCCAGGAATTGGCAAACCCTGGGAGGGCCAGTCTCTCCAGTGTCAGGAAGTCCCCAGATGTCAAAGCAACAAAAATACAGAAAATAAAGACATTCTTAATTCAAAAGCTAATGAAGATTAGAGCAGAAATATAGGAAAGAGAATAGAAAAGCAGTAGAGAAGTACAGTGAAACCAAAAGTGGTTTAGGAAAGATCAGCAATAGACAAACCTTTAGCTAGACTAATCAATGAAAAAGGACGGAAGACAAATTACTAAAACCAGGAGTGAAAGAAAGGACATTACTATTAACCATACAGAAATAAAAAAGGATCATAAGGGAATACTATGAACAAATCTGTCAACAAATCAGATAACCTAGGTAAAATGGACAAACTCCAAGAACAATACTAACTATGTAACTAACTAAAGAAGAAATAGAAAATTTCAGTATACCTTTAATAAGTAAAATTAGTGATCAAAAAACTTCCCACAAAGAAAACCTTCCAGAACTAGATGGCTTCACTGGTCAATTCTATGAAACATTTAAAGAAAAACACCAGTACTTCATATACCTAAAAAAACAGAATAGGAGGGAACACTTCCCAACTCCTCTGAGGTCATTATTACTCTGATACCCGAGGCAGAAAAAGACATCAAAATTAAAACTACAGACTAATATCCTTTATGAATATAAACACAACAGCCCTCAGCAAAAAAACTACCAAACTGAATTCAACAACTCATAGAAAGGATTATATACCTTTTACCTAGTGGATTGGTAAGTTGGTACCAGGTTTACAAATTTGGTTAAACATACAAAATGTATGTAATGCACTATATGAGAAGAATAAAAGATAAAATCACATGGTCATTTCAATAGACATAGAAAAAACATTGTGATAAAAACAAATGAGGAATGCAAGGGAACTTCTTAAACATAATAAAGGGCATCTATGAAAAACCCACAACTAATATACTTAATGTTGAAAAGCTGAATGCCTCCTCTGTAAGATCAGGAACAAAGCAAGGATATCTTCTCTCAGTTATATTTATGGCTAAGTTATATGTATGTCTAGGGTATCTTAGTTTAAACCTCTTAATCGTAAAACAAAAATCAAAGAACAATGACAAAAAATGAATTTGCAGTGTTAAAACCTAGTACTTTCACTGAGGCCCTAAGCCCATTATAAATCCTTTTCTGTATTAACTTTCTGAAATGTTCCTATTAAAACAAATAAAAAGGCCCCTTTAAGTATCTATTTTACATCTGTTATTATGTAATTAGTATAAAAGCTTCATTTCAGTTGTTTTGTTTTAGTAATATATATCAAATGTTAATCTAATTAAAGGAGTGGTTAATTTCCATAATTACTGCCACTGTCTCAATTATTTATCAAACCATTTTTTGCTGAAAGCTAGGGTAAATTTAAAATCTGAATCCAGTCCCTTTTTTAGTGTATATTTTTCCATGTTTGAAATATTTTATTTCAGGAGTATGCCTTCTGATTTAAATACTTGAAAAACTGAAAAACGTGGGCATTTATGCCATATAATAAGTTTTAAAGTTAGAAGAACCTTTATTTACATTTTAGTTCTGCCGTTTGGTAGTTGGACACTTTTGGACAAATTACACCAGTTGGGACAACCTTTTTGGGAAAATGCTCTATTCTCTTGTGATATTGCCATTTACCATATAGAGAAATATTGATTGTTTTTATCTTCTTTCTTTGAAAATCTTAGCACTTGCTTTTCCTCTCTATTTTAACCTGTCAGCATTTTAGACAACTGTAATGTTCACACAGAAGATCTTATACTTTTGACTAATTGGCTATAAATTGGGGGTTCCCATGACCCCCTCCTTAGGTTCAGTAATTTGCTAAAATAGTTACAGAACTCAGAGAAACACCTGTGTTTAACAGATTATTATAAAAGATGCAGATGAACAGATATGTAGGACAAGTTATGGAAGGGTCCTAAGTTCAGGAGCTTCTAGCCCTGTGGAGTTTGGGATTTGCCACCCTCTGCACATGGCATATTCTTGTTTACCAACCTAGAAGCTCTTCAAACTGCTTCTAGGGTTTTTATGGAGTCTTCTTTACATGTGGTTGGTTATATCATTGACCACTGGTGACTGAGCTCAATCTCTAGCATCCCTGGATGTGGGGCTTGGGCGGGGGCTAGGGCAGCTCAAAGTTCCAAACGTCTAATCGTATGATTGGTTTCCCCATTCTGAGGGACTGACTTTATGGAAGTTGCCTCATTAGTATAAAATTAGATATAGCTGAAAGGGTTGTTAGGAGTAAGAAAAGATTCTCCTTTCACATTTTTTTTTTGTATCATTAATCTACAATTACATGAGGAACATTGTGTTTACTAGACTCCCTCCATCACCAAGTCCTCCCCACATACCCCATTACAGTCACTGTCCATCAGTGTAGTAAGATGCTGTAGAATCACTGCTTGTCTTCTCTGTGCTGTACAACCCTTCCTGTGCCCCCCCCTACATTATGTCTGCTAATAGAAATGCCCCCCCTTTTTCCCTCTTATCCCTCCCTTCCCACCTGTCATCCCCAGTCCCTTTCCCTTTGGTAACTGTTAGTCCATTCTTGGGTTCTGTGAGTCTGCTGCTGTTTTGTTCTTTCAGGTTTTTTCTTTGTTCTTTTACTCCACATATGAGTGAAATCATTTGGTGCATGTCTTTCTTTGCCTGGTTTATTTCATTGAGCATAATACCCTCTAGCTCCATCCATGTTGTTGCAAATGGTAGGATTTGTTTTCTTTTTATGGCTGAATAATGTACCATTGTGTATATGTACCACATCTTCTTTATCCATTTATATACTGATGGACACTTAAGTTGCTTCCATTTCTTGGCTATTGTAAACAGTGCTGCGATAAATATAGGGGCGCATATGTCTTTTTCAAACTGGGCTGCGGAATTCTTAGGGTAAATTCCTAGAAGTGGAATTCCTGGGTCAAATGGTATTTTTGTTTTTAGTTTTTTGAGGAACCTCCATACTGTTCTCCACAATGGTTGAACTAGTTTACATTCCCACCAGCAGTGTAGGAGGGTTCCCCTTTCTCCACAACCTCACCAACATTTGTTTTGTTTGTCTTTTGGATGTTGGCCATCCTTACTGGTGTGAGGTTCTCCTTTCACATTTATTGCTCTGTTTTCAGAGCTGTTTCAGGAGCTGGTAAGAGAAACCAAACATTAAAACAAAAGATGCTCCTTTCACTCTTATCACTTAGGAAATTACCAAACCACAGAGGTTTAGTGCCTTGCACTAGGAGACTGTGACAGATCAAAATACATATTTCTTATTATATCACAGTATAGCACCAGTGAACTCCACACTGGTAAATGCAGTGGTCATTTCTTAGTCTTCATCTTACTTGACCTGTAAGCAACATTTAACATTTTAACATGATTTCTTGAAACTTGTTTTCACTTAGCTTTCAGGATACCACACTTTGCTCATTGTTCTTCTACCTTTCTGGCCTCTCTCTCTCAGTTTATTTTGATAGTTCTTCTTCCCTAGTCTGTAAGTGTTGGTTGCTTCAGAGCTCAGCCTTGGGTCTACACTCACTCTAAAGTGATCTTATACAAAGTCCCATAGCTTTAAATACTGTGTGTAATGATTGTCAAAATGCTTATGATTCCCAAATTTACATAGTTAGCCTGGATCTCTTTCTTCCAATTCCAGATCCATATTTCAGCTGCCTACCTGACATCTCCATTTGGTTATCAGTTGGCATCTCAAAGTTGATATATTTGAAACTGAGCTCTTAAGATTCCCCCTCAGACCTGCTTTTCCTGTCCTTTCCCATCTCAGTTAACAACACCAGGTTTTCAGTTAGCTCAGGTTACCTTCATGATACTCAATTCTTCTTTTCTTTCCTACCCCACTACTACTCTATCATTATGTTCTATTAGCTCTGCTTTACAAA